GGGTGAACAGAACGTCAATGGGGGCCAGAGATTTATTAGGGGGAGGGGACTCCCCCACAAGAGGGAAGAGCTGAGGTGCTTTAAACAGGAGAAAGCTGAGAAGCTGGGCACTCCCTGTACACCGACTAATCATGCTGCTCCCACAAATGCTTCCCAGCCCAAGAAATACTCAGTTGATAAAGTAGGAGAGGCTGCAGAGGGCTTCTTAGAGCTGCCCAGGGCTGGGGGCCATGCGGTGCCCCTTAGAGCTGCCATCAGGTGCTGTGTGCCTGATTGCAGCTGTAAGGTACGCAGCATGCCGGGGGGCGGGGCTGCGCATGCACCCTGCGCCCGGGGGTGGAGAACGGCTTGAGCCGGCCCTGCCCCAGACAACTGCCCAGAGTCACACGCACCCCCCTGTTAGCCGCCCTCACGGCACCCCTAACAGACTGAACTAGGAGTGCCCAACCACTAAGCAATGCAAATGGACGTTTCAAGCACAGACGCGCCGGTGGACACACGCCACCAGTCCTATCTCAGCCCGACTTTACAAAGACATTCATCGTACAAACTGATTCCCCAGACACTGGGGCAGGGGCAGTCTTGTCCCAGGAGTGGGAAGGGGCCGACCACCCCATCCTCTATTTAAGCCGAAAGTTGCTACCTCGAGAACAAGAATATGCCACCGTAGAGAAAGAAGCACTAGACGCCAAATGGGCAGTGGAAGAGCTGTGCTATTATTTGCTAGGGAACACCTTCCCATTAGTAACTGACCATGCGCCACTGCGGCGGATACATACTGTCATGATTATGAAGGTTAGCCAGCAGCCTGGGGATTAAGGGGTTAACTACACCTAGCCAGGTGGAGTGACCAGTAGGAATGTAGGTGGGACTTTCAAACTGGGACAAAGGAATTTGGGTTTTTTTCCTTTCTCCCTTTTGTCTCTGGGTGTGGGCTCTGCAGCTACAGAGAGGGCCAAGCATCTCTCTCTCTCCAAGACCCCGTTCTCCATTTTCTGTAAGTAGGGTAAAGTTTAGGTAGTTTCGTTAGGCTTTATTGTTTTAAGGGTTGGGGATGGGATCTGAGATCTGGCACTGCTTAAGAGATGTTTGGTTTTTCTTTTTAACTAAGTTTTAGCCCATGGTGTAATTCCTCCATGAGTATCTTTTGTTACCTTTCCGTCTGATCCTTACGCTTGAAACAGGAATATTGTTGTAATAATAAAAGTTTTCTCTTTTCTGTTTATTAACCTGGCATTGGTTACTTGTGTGTCCTGATTTTTATAATAGGGGTGAGATTTCCCAACTGATCTTTCCCCTAATCTCGTTATTAATATTTGGGTGGTGGCAGCGGAAGATTTATTCCCAAGATCTAGGTTTTTAAGATTTTGGGGGAAGTTTTATACCAAAGCCTAGTAGATAAGGCTTTGGGGTACACTTGCTGGCCCCCACTTCTGCATTTATCATGCCAGAGTGGGGAAGGAGCCATGACACATACTATGAAGGACAGTAATTCCCGTATTATGCGGTGGTATTTAGCATTACGACCCTATAAATTTGAGGTATTGCATAGTCCGGAAAAAGCCCACAGTAATGCTGATTTCTTCTCCGGGTGTTTGTCCACAGGGAGGAACTCAGAATGAGGACAGGTTCTAGAAGGGTGTGTGTGTGATGGGGTGTCGCTCACCCGCACTGATGGCCGCTAGGACTCTGGGGAGGCTCGCGCCATAGCCTTAGCATGGCGGTGCGTCAGCGGCGGGGCACCCGGGATGCTGGAGGCCCCGGCGCATAAGGAAGGGAGAAGGAGGCCAGAAATTGGGGGAGACTTGTGGGAGAGGGCTGGGCTTGCTCTTGCAGCTGGCCGGATGGACGGACCAGAGCAACACCGGCGCGGACCAGGGCCTTCACCCCAGGTGCGGAGGAGGTAGCACGGAACCCTGTGCGGAGCGAGTTCCCCGGGGACCAACAGACGCCGTGGGCCCCCGGGTTGGAGTGGACATCCGATTCACAATTATAAAGGAGAGTGAACCCGGACTCCGGGTGGGGAGCTGGGTTCAGGTGGGAAATATCCCCGGCGGGATGGTGGAGCCGGGGTGAACAGAACGTCAATGGGGGCCAGAGATTTATTAGGGGGAGGGGACTCCCCCACAAGAGGGAAGAGCTGAGGTGCTTTAAACAGGAGAAAGCTGAGAAGCTGGGCACTCCCTGTACACCGACTAATCATGCTGCTCCCACAAATGCTTCCCAGCCCAAGAAATACTCAGTTGATAAAGTAGGAGAGGCTGCAGAGGGCTTCTTAGAGAATTTTGAAAGGGCCTTGGCTACAGCATCTCCACAGCTCAGTGGTGGAGCTAAGGCCACAACTTAGCAGAAGGGGCAGCTGAAATGCCTACAGAAAACATGAACGATTACGAATCAGTTAAACAGAATTAGGACAGAATTAGGATGAGACTCACCCCCATGGCTGTTTCAGAGACCTAAGGTGGAAACCAGCAACAAAAAAAGAGAACCTGATTGCATCTAACTGCACATTCCCTATCTACTCACATTTCTTGTTCTCAGGTTCTGTCCTTTGTAGACATGAAAATGGCTGGACATTCCATGTCCATCCGTACAAACTGATTCCCCAGACACTGGGGCAGGGGCAGTCTTGTCCCAGGAGTGGGAAGGGGCCGACCACCCCATCCTCTATTTAAGCCGAAAGTTGCTACCTCGAGAACAAGAATATGCCACCGTAGAGAAAGAAGCACTAGACGCCAAATGGGCAGTGGAAGAGCTGTGCTATTATTTGCTAGGGAACACCTTCCCATTAGTAACTGACCATGCGCCACTGCGGCGGATACATACTGTCATGATTATGAAGGTTAGCCAGCAGCCTGGGGATTAAGGGGTTAACTACACCTAGCCAGGTGGAGTGACCAGTAGGAATGTAGGTGGGACTTTCAAACTGGGACAAAGGAATTTGGGTTTTTTTCCTTTCTCCCTTTTGTCTCTGGGTGTGGGCTCTGCAGCTACAGAGAGGGCCAAGCATCTCTCTCTCTCCAAGACCCCGTTCTCCATTTTCTGTAAGTAGGGTAAAGTTTAGGTAGTTTCCGTCCCCTTTCACCCCTCCTCTACCTACGGTACATCGATGACATCTTTATGATCTGGACACATGGCCAAGAAACACTGGAGATATTCCACAGAGATTTCAACAACCTACACCCCACCATCAACCTCAGCCTGGACCATTCTACACGAGAGATCCACTTCCTGGACACCACCGTACAAATCAACAATGGAAAATTAGACACCACTCTCTACAGAAAACCCACTGACTCATACAGTTACCTACATGCATCCAGCTCCCATCCAGAACACACCACACGATCCATCGTCTATAGCCAAGCCCTTCGATACAACCGCATCTGCTCTAACCCCACTGACAGAGACCAGAAGCTTCAGGATCTCTACCAAGCATTTATAAATCTCAACTACCCACCCAGAGAAACAAAAAAGCAAATTGAAAGAGCCAGACGAATACCTAGAAACCATCTACTTCAAGACAGACCCAAGAAAACCAACAATAGAACACCACTTGTCATCACCTACAACCCCCAACTTAAACCTGTCCAACACATTATCAATAAACTACAGCCTATATTGGAACAGGATACCATACTCAAAGAGGCTCTGGGAGACAGACCCATAGTCTCCTATAGACAACCACCTAACCTCAAGATGATTCTTACCAACCACCACAGGACATACCACACTAATACCAACCCTGGTACCTTCCCTTGCAACAAACCCCGTTGCCAGCTTTGTCCACATATTCATTCTGCTGATACCATTATTGGACCTAACCAAGTGAGTTATAAGATCAAGAACACATATTCCTGCGCATCCAGAAATATAATCTACGCTATCATGTGCCGAAAGTGTCCGTCTGCTATGTACATTGGACAAACATCTCAGACACTTCGCCAAAGGATTAATGCCCACAAAACAGATATCAGACAAGATCACAAAGAGAAAACAGTTTCTTGCCACTTTAACCAGAAAGGACACTCTCTAAATGACTTAGCCACCTGCATTCTGCTACAAAGACCTTTTACATCTGCACTTGAAAGGGAATCCTCTGAACTGTCATTCATGTTAAAATTCGACACTTACCACCAGGGACTTAACAAGTCTTTGAACTTTCTCACCCATTATCAAGACAGTTTCCCCAATTATCACCTGTAATACCATTAACTCACAAACATCCCACTCTCCCTACCTCTAATATCATCAATTCACAGACACTTACCTTCCTTCCTCCCCCTCCCCCACCCCGCATCTCCCTTCTGTTCTGCAATGTGATTTGTCCTTTTCATATTTGTTCTTTTTTTTAATTGTATCCTTTGGTATATATGGTTGTGACTATTTTCTTCCACTATTTGATCTGAGGAAGTGGGTCTGGCCCACGAAAGCTCATCATCTAATAAACCATCTTGTTAGTCTTTAAAGTGCTACATTGTCCTGCATTTTGCTACAATTATAAAGGAGAGTGAACCCGGACTCCGGGTGGGGAGCTGGGTTCAGGTGGGAAATATTAGGACAGAATTAGGATGAGACTCACCCCCATGGCTGTTTCAGAGACCTAAGGTGGAAACCAGCAACAAAAAAAGAGAACCTGATTGCATCTAACTGCACATTCCCTATCTACTCACATTTCTTGTTCTCAGGTTCTGTCCTTTGTAGACATGAAAATGGCTGGACATTCCATGTCCATCTCCCAAGGTTTACTTCATCTTTCCTTAGCTTTGTAGCGCTCCACAGTCCTACAACTCAGAGTTGGGTGGCCCAGGAGGCCAAGTGGATGGTCTGTGTCTTACCCAGGCCCACCCGTGTCCCTGCACCATTGACAAAAGAGTCAAAGCCTCGCGATGCTCGGAGGCGAAAAGGCCATGTGCTAGCCCCAGCTGCCAGTGAGACCCAACCCCTGTGTCTGAGCTGGGAGAAGTCATCTTGCTGCAGGCAAGGGGGAAGCAACTCACATGGGGTTGTCTTTGCCGTTGTTCGCTAGGGAGTCTCCCACGTGGATCTGGGCTCCTTGCAGTCTCTTCGCACAACAGTCTTCCCTGTTCTTCACAATCACCATGGAGACGGAATGCCGTCTGCCCAAGTCCACGGTCCATGTGGGCTCTGCAGCTACAGAGAGGGCCAAGCATTCTGCCCAAGTCCACGGTCCACCAGGGCCCCAAATCGAAAGAGGTATGGCTGCAGGAGCCGTGTTCATAATTCCCATCACGGCTACCATCCACAGCCCTGCCAGGCTTGTTCACTAAATTAGCATCCTCGAACGTGAACGACTGAGTGGCTGGACGTCCCAGCGCCAGGTTCTGAGCTGGAATCAGAGGGCGAGAAGAGGGGAGGTGGGACGTGCCCGTTGCCGGAAAGGGCGGGGCTCTACAAGACCTTTGTCCAATGGGGAGCCAGAGCCGCCTCCTGGCAGGGACACACAAACCAGGCACCATGACAGAGCCAGATTCTCAGTGGGAGCTAGAGACCTAGGGAATGGGAGTGAGAAAAGGCTGGTGCTGGGGTCCCAGCCCACAAAGAGCCTCCCTCAGCCACCATGTTCTATACCCGGCTGAAACTGCTCCCCAGGCAGGGATGGGGCACAATGTTCACACGTGGAGCCTGCACCCCTGACTGCCTCTGCCGGCTGCAGCCCACGCCCAGGGGAGCAGTGGGAAGGGGAGAGTCTCCCACGGTTTCTGCTGCCTCACTAGGACTCAGAAGGGACTGGGGTAGATCATGAAAGGGAACCGGTTTCCAGTCACATTGTGCCAGCTCCTTACCTTCCGGCGGTGGGGCACAGCCCTGAGATAGAACCTCGACCTCACAAAGGGTCAGATACTCCGACCTGCCCGGGATGACGATGGTGACATAACGACCCTCCAGCCCACTGCAGCAGATGGTGCTGAGGGATCCAGGTCTGTGGTCAGTGATGGTCCCGCAGCTAAAGGAAAGAGCAGAACCAAAGGAGACAAAACAAGTCTCACACATTCTTTCTATTGGCTCTCCTGTGTCCCTGGCAACACCTTCCGGATACCTGAGAAGTCACAAAGGATGGGTGAGGTCCCGGGGACTAGAGAAGGGCAAACCTTGCACCTATCTTTGAAAACAGAGAACAAAGAGGAAGTGGCAAATTCTGTAGCAATGAGCCCAACTTCAATACCTCACCAGACACTGAAATAAATGATCGGACAGTCTGAAAGCAGCGGGGGAAGAATACAGTGAAATGCCACAACGGACGTGGATTTGAAAGAACAGCCCATGCCGTGCCTCTCGCATGCTCTTTAACACGCTAGCCAGCCTAATGGATGAGGGAGGAGAGTATTAGATGTGATTTGTCCAGGTCAGGTGTGGCCATCCCGCAGCTCGCGAGCTGCACGCAGCTCTTCCCCCGGTCAGTGCGACTCGTGAACTTGCCCCCAAGGCTCGCAAAGCCGCCCCCGTTTCCCAGCTCCTCTGTGCTCACCGGGGTAGGGGAACCGTCTGGATCCAAAAGGGTGGCTGCAGATGGGAGCCTACTGAGGCCAAAAAGCCTTCTTAAAGGGCCAGTATTTATTTATTTCTTTCTTTCTTTCTTTCTTTCTTTCTTTCTTTCTTTCTTTCTTTCTTTCTTTCTTTCTTTCTTTCTTTCTTTCTTTCTTTCTTTCTTTCTTTCTTTCTTTCTTTCTTTCTTTCTTTCTTTCTTTCTTTCTTTCTTTCTTTCTTTCTTTCTTTCTTTCTTTCTTTCTTTCTTTCTTTCTTTCTTTCTTTCTTTCTTTCTTTCTTTCTTTCTTTCTTTCTTTCTTTCTTTCTTTCTTTCTTTCTTTCTTTCTTTCTTTCTTTCTTAGTTAAATTCTAGGGCTTTAATTGCTCATTGAAAGTACTGTCATATAGGTGGCAATCAGGGGAAATGTTGCATTTTATTGCAATGAGCAGAACTGGCTTAAATGGGGCCTGCGTGTAGTGTAGTCTTGCCTTAATATTTGTATTTATGACCATCAGTGTGAAAGAAGCTATTTGCATATATTTGCATATATATTCACATGTATATGCAACCACACATAAGCGGTGGCCCCCAGGCCTTCCAAAGTTGAGTAGTCCAGCTCTATATTTTAGGAAAGCTTTTGAGAGAATCCAATGCAACACTCTTGTCATATGCAAACGAGGGAAAGACGGTCTAGGTAAAATCACTATCAGGTGGGTGCACAGGTGTTTGAAACGCACCCCAAGAGGAGTTAACAATAGTGAATGGTCACATTGAGGGGCTTTATGTAGAAGGAAGTTTCAGAGATGTGCCCTGCGTTGAGCACTGGTCTCTATGTTCATTAATGACGTTGACATTGGCGCACCGAGTAGGGTTATAAAATGTGCAGGTGAAACCAAGCCGGGAGGGGTTGTAAGAACATTGGGGGTAAGGAAGAAAATGCAAAATCATCTTGATAATGTGGGGAACTGGCGTGAAAACTAGCAGGAGCAATTCAATAAAGGGAAGTGCTGTTCCGCGGAAGGAAAATGTCTAACTCCCATATAAGGGAAAGACACATTAGACCCACTCAGCTCTGGCACATGTTCTGAGGGCTTGTGGCGAGCCATTTCTGGGATACTGTGAAGAAGTGGACTGTGCCCAGAAATCTTATGATCCCAGCTACATGTTTCGTTCGTCTTTCAGGTGCTACTAGACTATTCGTTGTTTTTAAATTGTTTCCAGGTTTTGAATTGAATTGTAATATACCCACTTCCTGTTCTACTAACGCCGTGGAGGGGAGAGACCCCACTGGAGCTCACGGAGGGCAGTGGACTCTCGTAGATTACAGCACGGGCAGATACATCTGGGTTCTATGTAAGAACATTGGCCAGACTAGGTCAGACCAAAGGTCTATGTACCCCAGTGGCCAATGCCAGGTGCCCCATAGGGAATGCACACAACAGGCAATCATTGCCTAATTCATCCCGCCACCCTTTTTGAGCCCCTGGCAAAACATGGTGCTGGATCTCCGGCTACAGGGGCTAATAGCCACTGAGGGACCTATTCTCCATGAACTGTTCTTGTTCTTTTCAGAACCCTATTATAGTTTTGGCCTTCACAGCATCCTCTGGCAAGGAGTTCCACAGGTTGACAGTGAAGAAATACTTTGAGTCTTTTGTTCCCTTTACTTAGGGAGATCCCAGGAAGGCAACCTAGGAGAGGTGCCCAGGAGGGAAGAAGCTCCAAAGGGGAGAGCTATGTGTGCCAAGCCCCTAAGGGCTGTTTCCCCTGAAGCTAATTACTGACGGACACAGTGGATTCTCCTTCCCCTGGAGACCTGGGGATGGGAAAGGTCCCTCCAGGCCTCAGGAGTCTCTGGAGCCAGGAACCCCAGTTCCTGTTGGCTCAGGTGTGATGATTCTGCAGGAGGAACAGCTGTGAGGGCAGAGACAGAACAGGTGGGGCTGGAGAGCTCTCAGCTGTTCTGCATCATGCAGGGAGCTGGAGGGGAGGAGAAGGGTGCAGAGCAAGTATCATAGTGGGGGGGAGGGGCTGAGCCTCGCCAAGCAGCCTGGCATGGCCCTGCCCATGCTGGGCTCCTGAGCTCCCCGTCCCTTCCCACTGTTTGTGGCCCAGGCTGGGGCTGGTGCCATCAGATGACCTGTCACATGTGACCTGGGGAGGCTGGGGCTGCTGGCTGCCCAGGACCCTGGAATTGGAGGCACTGAGGCTGGCAGATGAGGTTGGGGTGCCCTGGGCATCTGGGGAAGGGACGGAGAGAAGGGGGACCACAGGGGGAAGGAAGACGCTTGGGGCACAACAGCGAATTCACCTGCTGCCCATGAGGAGGGGCGCAAAGAGTCGGGGGGGTTTACCTGTCCAGGGAAAGGAGCACACGGGGCGGGAAGCGGAGTGGCAGGAAGGGCAGGCAGCAGGTGGGGCGAAGTCCAAGAGGGGATGAGCCGTGGATGAAAGAGGCGTCATGCACCCCGGGCAACTCAGGAAGACGGTGTCCCCCCTCCACTGGCGCTACAGCTGAGTTGGGGTTTGTCTGGAGGCCAAGGGGGGGCTGCATCCCACCCAGCTCACCCATGGCCATGCCCCTGCACCCCCGCAAAGCACTCCCAGCCCCAGGCAGCTCCAAAGAACCATAGAGCTGGAAGAGACCTCAGAAGGTCATCGAGTCCAGCCCTCTGCTCTAGGCAGGACCAATCCCAACTAGATCAACCCGGCCAGGGCTTTGTCAAGCCGAGACTTAGGGTACGTCTAGACTACGTCTGTCGACGGAGCCATGTAGATTTGTTTGTTCGGCAAAGGGAAATGAAGCCGCGATTTAAATAATCGCGGCTTCATTTAAATTTAAATGGCTGCCCCGCTCTGCCGATCAGCTGTTTGTCGGCAGATCGGGACAGTCTGGACGCTCCCGTCGACGTGAAAGCCCTTTATCGACCTCCCCAGTAAACCTCATCCTACGAGGCATAACGGGGAGGTCGATAAAGGGCTTTCAGTTCGGCACGGGAGCGTCCAGACTAGCACACTGAGCCTACAAACAGCTGATCAGATGTTTGTCAGCTCAGCTCAG